CCAAAGGAAAGGCAGGAAATTCGGTGAAGTCTCAGGATACCACCTCCTCACCGTTGCTGGTGGGGACAGGAAGGTGCCGGAGACGAGGGGCATGACCATCTGTCACCCTCGTGACACAGTCCCCCTGCCTGGGGGCTGGGGCCCATCCCAGCAGAGGGAAGCGCCTCTGACTCTGCCGCCAGGACTGTCCCGCCAGCCCCACGTCCTGCCAGCCTTCCTCGCCAGCTCAGGGAACTCCAGGGCGGCTAACGGGGGGGAGGGACACAAACAGGCCCCCCGCCCTCCCCGAGCCCCCGAGTGGGCAGTGCAGGCTGACTCCCGCCTCACCCAGAGTCCAGGGCTGGGGCTCTGCCCATGTTTTAATCAGTGTATTTTGGCTACTGGAGTTGTGTGAGTTTTTCATGTATTTGTAATCTTAACCCTTTATCCGATATATGATTTGCAAATATCTTCTATCCTGTGGTTCCCTTTTCATTTGGTGGTTGGTCGCCTCTACTGAGCAAAGCTTTTCGATCCGGCACAGTCCCACTTGTCTACTTTTGCTTTTTGTTGCCTTTGTTTTTGTACCAAAACCCCCTAAAAATCATTCTAAGACTAATGCCAAGGGGCTTGCCCCCTATTTTCTTCTGAGTTTTATGGTTTCAGGTCTTATGCTCAAATCTTTATTCCACTTGGATCAGTTTTTGGGAGTGGGGCACACAGTGTCCGGCGTTGTGCCCACTTTTCCCAGCACCACCCACCGAGCGGACTGCCCTTTCCCCATTGCATCTCCTTGGCTCCTTTGTGGTAAGTTAATGTGTGTGGGGTTATTTCTGAGCTGCATTTGGCACCACTGGTCTGTATGCCTGTTTTTATGCCAGTGCCATACTGTTCTGATTGTTACAGCTTTGTGATGTACTTTGAAGTGGGCAAGTGTGATGCCTCCAGCTTGGTTCTTTTTCAAGATTGTTTTGGCTTTTCTGGGTCCTTGGGGGTCCCATACACATTTTAGGATGGCTTTTCTATTCCTGCAAAAAATGCCATAGGGATTTTGATAGGGGTTCCACTGGCGTTGAGTAGTGGGAATGGACACGGCAAAGCCGCTAGTTCTTCCAGCCCATGAGCATGGAATGCCTTTCCATTTATTTGTGTCGTCTTCAATTCACGTCATCGGTGTTACAGTTCTCCGAGAACAGGTCTTTCACCTCCTTGGTTAAATTTATTCCTAGATATTTTATTTTTTTGATGCAATTCTATATGGGATTGTTGTTTTAATTTCTCTTCTTGACAGTTTGTAGTTATTGTATAGAAATGCAACACAGTGTTTGTATATCAATTTTGTATCCTGTAACTTTCCTGAAATCACTTACTCTAACAGCTTTTTGGTGGAGTCTTTAGGGTTTTCTGTACAGACAAACCCTGATTTTACGATGGTCTGAAAGCAACACACATTCGACAGCTACTCCACAGAGCTTCCCGTGGGCCAGAATCCGTGGTATGACACCCTCGTGTCCTCATGATGCTGGACGGCAGAGGCCAGCCAACCCCGTGGTCACAGGGGTGAACAACCCGCACACCGACAGCCGTCCTGCTTGTCACTCTCAGAGCAGCGCTCAATACATCACATGAGATAGTCAGCACTTCATTATAAAATAGGCTTCGTGTTAGATGGTTTCGCCCAAGTGCAGACTCACCTAAGTGTTCTGAGCACCGTTAAGCGAGGCTCAGCTAAGCCGTGGCACTTAGGTTGGATGCAGTAACCGGGTTTTAGACTCAAAAAGTGCAGAGACCCAGCCACCACAGCCCAGCAGTGGGGGCAGCTGGTGATGTCCACAGGTGCCCACGTGGGCTACGGCATCTGACTGTCACAGGCCAGGCCAGGCCACGCGCAGGGACCACGCCGCACGGCGGGGTAGCTACCGGGAGGGCAGGGGAACCGCTGGTTAGAGTAAGCCCGCCGTGGCCAGCCTGCCCCTGGGGGCAGCCATTAGGCTGCACATGCAGTGACTCCTGTTTTACACGCAAACAGGCCCCGCCCACCGCACCCGCAGGTCCCCCTAACGCGCTGCTCCCGCCTGCGCGAGAAAAGGGGCCGGTGGTGGGGACAGTCAGACCAAAGTCCGTATCTGGTTTATCAGCCGGCGCGCCCAGTGAGGCCCGTGTGCACCGGGAAGAGCACATTAGGTTTCTTCAGTCCCCACCACGCAGGCACCAGGCACCTGAGAAGCTGCCCTAGGAGCCCAGCGCGGGCCGGGAATGTACATTTTAACTGAGAACGCTTAGGGCGCTGCGGGCAGAACGCAGCCTCGCAGGTGGCCAGCAGGTGGCAGCAACTGACAATAAAACGATGCTGTCCCGGCCCTTTGCCAGGACCGTGGGTGGTTTTCCTACGCGGGGCATCACCCTGGGGAGGGCCTTCCACTCCAGGCGTTTCGAGGCCCTGGACTCCAAGTGCAGACCTGCCTCCTCCAGCCCTTCTCTGAGCTGTTGAAGGTCCTGGGTTACCCGGCCATTCAGCAATTACCCAGAACCCTTGCTCCCTGGCCCCGAGTTTGGACATCCCAGTGGCCAGGCCCAACCCCAGATGGCCATCAGAACCCCAGGGGGATGCGAAGGCTGGCTTTAATGTAATCTCCCCGAGTGGGGTTGACCTGAGGCCACTGCTGGGACTCTGCTCCAGGCCACGCTCTGAAAGCCAAACTCACCTGTGCAGTGACTCCAATCATTACTCCACTGACCCCACCTGGCGTTTCCATGACCCCACAAGTGCCTGCCAGACGCCCCCAGGTAGGTCAAATGCCCCTATACTCAATGTATCCACAGCACACCCTCCCCAGTGCTCCCAAGTGCCCCACCAGTCCCACATCCCAGGTTATCCAGCACCCACCCCATTAGCCCCTCGTGCTGCCTCCAGTGTTGTGGAGGTCGTCCATACCCCTCGGCATCCCCTTCACCCCAACAGCTCTGCCAGGCTCGGAGAGACACCCCAGGGAAGTGTCCCCAAGTGCCCTGACCCTCAGGGCCACATGGTCCTCCTGAAAACTCTTCCTGGAGCACATCCGGTGGCCGCTGCTCTTCCTCAGCCCCGGAGCAGTCCAGGGCACCCTCTCGGACAGGGACCTCGCCCAGACCCTTCTCATGCCCCCTTCACTCCAAGCCAGGATGCACTGGTGCCCCCACTGCATGACACGCAGATGCACCAGCCTGCGGGCCTCTCCATGCACTTCTCTGTAGGGCCCGGAGCAAGGAGGGGCTGATGCTTCCCGTGACTGTTTGCCGGTGTGTTTGTGTCTTATCCCTGAACAATGGCACCCAGCATGGAGGCCCTGGAGAGCCAGGACCCCAGCCATTGCTGGATTTCCAGAACCTTCCAGAGAGCACCTGGCTCCTAGCCATTCACACCCCTGAAGTGCAGGGCACCTGCCCCCCTCCCCAGCACTCGGGCAGCACTCCTCTCCCTGGTGGGACCTGGGCAGCAGAGATGTTAGTGACTCTGGGAGGCCTTGCACTGCAGGCCCGGGTGACACCTGTCCCCTACTAAGTGAGGCGCAACATCCCTCACCAACTCCAGGGCCTCCAGGCAGCTTCCCACCTGGGAGAAAGCTTGGGGTCCTGGCCTTCACCCACTCTTGGAAGGCCTGGAAAGGCGGCATCTGGTGGGGCAAGATCCACAAAGCGACGGCGCCTCTGGCAACTCCAGGAAAAGCTGTGCAAAGCACAGTATGCTCACGGCATGGGGTTTCGGCTGAGGAACTCGGACAAAAGTTAGTAGCTGCCTGGTGGCGCCCTGGCATGTCACCCATTTCCTCTGCGTGTTCCTGAAACAGCCGGGGTCCGAGGAAGGGGCCAGGCTGGTGCGGCTTCCTGCCCTCCCCATTTGAACTTCCTGCGAGAAACTCCGTCCTTACTCCGCCCCTTGCAAACCTACAGACAGGCTGGCATCAGTCCCCAGCCCCATTCCCCAGCTACTGGGACTTTCCTGGATGGCCACTCCCTGCCTGGTGGACCTTTCACCCTGAGGAAGGTCGTGCTCACACCAGTCCCCCATTCCAGGCTGCAGAATTGGCCTCATGCATCAGGCTGCACCCAAAGGTGCTTGGACAACACCTCTGGTCTGACACCCACCTGGGAGCACCACCCCAGTATCCCTGGAGGGATGTCTTAGCCTAGACTCAGGCCAGGACATATGACCCAGCCCAGCCCAGTCGCACCAGCTCCCAGGGTGACCAGCAGCCCCACAGCTTCCCTCCAGCAGAGCGCAGTCACCCTCACCGCCAAGGGAGGGGTGGGGGGCTCTACTGCAGGAAAGCCCGGGAAAAGTCTTTCACCTGAAATACAGATAATTTTTTGAAACACCGGGTTTACCCTAAACGAGAGATTTTGTCCTCAAATTCCAGTCCCTACCCCAAATCACAAATTCCGGGTTCGCAGATACACCTAGGACGTACTCCTCCTGGAAAACTTGTGGGTCTGGAGGCCCAGAAAGGGCTGCTGGGGGCGTCCCTGCAGACGCCTCGCAGTCCCGCCGCGACGCAGGGCGCTCAGGACCCGGGGCTGCGGCTGGGCTGTGCCCTCCATGCCAGATCCCTGCGCCGCGCCAGGGCGGCTCCTGCGGGGTACCGAGGAAGAGGCGGCCTGAAGCGAGCGCCCAGGGGGCACGCGAGCGTTCCGTGGTGGCAGCGGGTGAGTAGAGGGACGCTGGCAAGCAGGTACGGCGCTCCGGGTCCCGCCGTCTCCACCATCTCCGTGCAGACGTCCGGCTCCCTGCATCCCCGCGGCTCCCCCATCCCGGCGCCGGTCTGCGCTGCTGGTGCAGCCGGGGTCCGGGAAGAGGGGGCCACCGGTCCCCCCTGACTGGTTAGACGCGAAGTCTTCGCGGGCGCCTCCGCACCTGCAAACGGGCGTAGGGCGAGGGGGGAGGGGCGGAGGGAGGAGCCCACGACCCAGAGGCGGGGCCCAGGCGGCCAGACCGGCCCGGCGCGGAGGCGCGGGGCCCACACACCGCCGGACGCACGCGCGAGCCCGGAGCGGCACCGCTGGAGCGCCCGCCCGCTCGGCCAGCCCTTGGGCGCCGGCGGCGCGGCCATGGCCGAGCTCAAGCCGCTGTCGGGGGACACGTTCCTGGCGCTGAGACACAGCTACGCGGCGGCCGCGGGCCTCGCCTACGGGGTGGCCCGGGGATCCGAGGCGGTCCGCGGCTACGGCGCGCCGGGCCCGGGCGGCGACCTCCCCGCGGCGCCCGCGCCCCGCGCCCCGGCGGCGGCCGAGAGCAGCGGCGAGCAGAGCGGCGACGAGGACGACGCCTTCGAGCGGCGGCGGCGGCGGCGGCGCGGGCCCGGGGGCGCGGCGGACGCGCGGCGGCGGCCCCGGGAGCAGCGCTCGCTGCGGCTGAGCATCAACGCGCGCGAGCGGCGGCGCATGCACGACCTGAACGACGCGCTGGACGGGCTGCGCGCCGTCATCCCCTACGCGCACGGCCCGTCGGTGCGCAAGCTCTCCAAGATCGCCACGCTGCTGCTCGCCAGGAACTACATCCTCATGCAGGCGCAGGCCCTGGACGAGATGCGGCGCCTGGTGGCCTGCCTCAACCAGGGCCAGGGCCTGGCGGCGCCCGTGGCCCCCGCGCCCTTGACACCCTTCGGCCAGGCTGCCGTGTGCCCTTTCCCTGCGGGCGCCGCTCTGCCCTGCCCGGACAAGGGCGCCGCCTTCCCCGGGACGCCCTCGGCGCTTTGCAAACACTGTAACGGGAAGCCGTGAGGCCCCAGGCCGCCCCTCCTTCCGCAGCGCCCTCCATTCTGCATGCCCCAGGACTCTCACCTGCCCCAGCAGGACCCCGCCCGCGCGGGGGAGGCCGCCCCCCTCGCGTCCAGCCCGCGCGCAGAACAGTGCAAGGTGCAGGAAGCGCAAAGCCTGTGTGGGCGCAGAACTGAGCCGGAGAGCCGGGTATGGGATCCACACCTGCGGCCTACAGCGCCCGCTGGGTCCCCGCCCAGCACCCGCGGCCGTCGAGACTGGGGACGGGACGGGGGTGACCAGCCCTACTTATCTGAGCACCGGTGCTCAGTCTCAGAAAGAAAACCAGGGCCCCAAAGGGAGCAGCGACTGGCGCCGCCCCAGCGGGCAGGGCCCGGGGAAGGGCGTTGCTGGGCCCGGCGGGTCGTGGCACTCCTGCTGGGGCGCGTCCTTCACCCCCGTCTGCTGCTCTGGCGAAACCGGCAGGGCCGCGCTCTCGGGGGAGCGTGTGCCCCAGGGGCGCAGCGCCTGGCATGTCTACCTCTTCTGGCTCCGCCGCCCCCCCGCCCCTCATCCAAGCTGGTGGATGTGCCCCGACCCAGCCGGGGAGGGAGCCGGACTGGGGACGGCAGAAGCCCCGGGACCAGTGGCCTTTGGCTTTCCCAAGCCCGAGTTTGTTTTGCCTGCCTGGAGGTGCGAACCTCTGGAGGTGAGCGCAGGCCGACAGCGGCTGCCTCCAAGCCTGCGGGATTTGCTCTAAACAGCGTCTGGACTCCCCAGCCACGCTGTCTCGCGGGAGGGCCCCCACCCAGGCCGCCCGCGTGGAGCTGGGTGGAGTCGACAGCGCACCCTCTGCTCACAGGCAGCTGCGTGGAGGAGGGGTCCTCACAACCCGCAGCCCCACTCGAAGCTGGGGTGTCAGAGAAGGGCCCAGTCCAGCTCTGGTGCCCCGCAGAGCCCCTTCCCCCCCTCGCCAGCTCCCGCACAATTCCGTGGGTGGAGGCTGGGCCACGGGTGAGTACACTGCAGGGGGCTGCGCCTTGACCCGTGGGAACCGGGATGGGCTCTGACTCTTTTATGTCCCTGCACAGCTCAGAATTCTGCCCCCGCCCCCGCCCAGGTGCCGCCCATGGCCCTGGGGATGGAGCTGTCTGAGCTGGTGGCACCCGGTGGCTCTTCTACAATATCCAGCTTTATTAACCCAATTTCCTCGGCTGTCGTTAATGCTTTGTTAGTGGAGACCGGCCGCTGCCTTGAAAGCTGCCTGTCTATAGCATTTAACTTTAATTAATACATTTCAAAGGCCCTTTTGTATTTGCAAAATGAACTGTGTGATTAAGTCTTACTCATAAAGACATATGCTTAATACTGGTTTTTTCTAATTTCCATATTTATTTCTTCATTGTCTTTTTCCCCCCCTAACAGACTACTGTATCAATTTTGAACATTTGAAAAGCCGAGTATGGGAACTGTTTCAAATCCCTTTTGGTGGCTGAGAATAGGACAACTGTCCGATGTCATTTACATCTCGGGTCATTTCCTAAATCAACTTTATACTTACATAATCAGAAACAGTCACTTATTCTGTTATTATATATTAAAAACCAGACATGTTTAGTATATCATTTATATTCAGAATAAAGTATTTTATTTCAACTTATTTTTTTAATAATATGATTCCATTGTAATATCAAGTTAAATAGTGTTCATTTGTGACTGAACGCATAATTTCAACTTTCAGATGATTTCATCAGTCTGGGCCACGTTTCTAAGTCAGAGTCTAGGAGGTCTCTGAGAGGCAGCCCGCTGATCTGTAAGCAGCCACTCGGCGAATACAGAAATACGGCAGAGACAGAAATCTCTCTGCCCGACTCTTGGGTGAAGAACAATTTTTTAAGAGAACCATTTCACTGAGAGCAAATTCTTCTAATGACTTGGCTTAAATAAAAGGTAAATTAAATTTAAACAATTTTCTAAATTGCAAGGCTGTTTATCTCCTGTTCTCTCGTGTCGGCATTGCTTTCTCACTGGAGTCGAGTGGAATTCAAAGTGAAATCAGGCAGGCCTCTCAACTGGGGCCACTAGCAAAAGCATCGAGTTCTGTCAAAATAGGTGTCATTTGGCCGCTTACAGGTCGGCACCGCAAAGTCACCATTCTAAGGCCAAGCAAGCAGCAGTCTGTCCTTAGCCTGTGTGCCCAGCGTACAGCCAACCATTGTCACTGCCCGTTTGCAAGCCCGCTACTGTCTAGACACGTCTGGTGGGGGATCTGGTGGTTTTATCCTGGGGTCTGAACTCCTGCAGGGGTGCCCAGGATTTCTGTGGCTGAGCTCAAAAAAAAGATGCGTCGCCACGCATCTAACCACCCAGAGCTAGCATTCCTCTAGCACCGGAGAAGGAATTAAATAGGAAAAGAGCTTTGCACATAATTCAGATTTGAAGCAGCCTCTAGAAAATGCTGGGTTTTAGGTCCATCTCAGATAAGGAAGATGCATCTGCTGTGATAAGGGGCAAGCAAGTGTCCCTTTAATCCAGCACTGTCCCGTGCAGACAGAACACAGGCCACATGGGAAATGTTACATTTTCTAGTGGCCACATAAAAAGAATGAATAGAAGCAGATGAAATCAATTTTAATGATTATTTTTACTTATCCCAACAAATGCAAAATATTATCATTTCAATACACAATATTTTAAAATTATTAGGGAGATACTTTACATTCTTTTGTACTGAGTCTTCAAAACCCCCTGTGTCTTGCCCTTGGAGCCCCCTCTGTTCAGACCAGCCCTGTTTCAAGTGTTGAGTGGCCATATGTGTTTCGTGAATTGTAAAAATGCAAAGCATGTGAAGTGTCACCTTCACTTTAATAATAAGCAGGAAATGTCCACTGACTCAAGGAATAAATTCCAAAGCTAGACCAATAAGGAAATGACTGTCCTGTGCCTCTCAATCCTGGTGCACCAAGTCCAGCTGAGGCTGGGGCAGGTGGCAAGAAGAGCCATGGTCAGTTTTCTCCAGAGAGGAGGTCCTTCCATGTGCCACCCAGCATCACACTGGCCGGCTGTGTACCCGTGCCTGGGACCCAGCAGGGCGACGACCCGGGGCCCCCGACTCTGCAGTGGAGGGCTCATCTGGGCCAGCGCTGCCTTCTTCCTCTACTAGCCACACAAGAGAGGGCTCAGCCATGCTGGCTACTGCTTGAGCGACTCAGAGACCAAGACTCATCTGGCTCAGGTGTGAGCCCAGGAAGCCAGGTTTTTGGGAGCTTGGGGCAGGCCTCTCCGAGCCCGGGGTCTCCCTAGGGGTCCCTTGCCAGGGTCAGGGGAGGCAGGTTGCCCACCAGGGTTCTGCCCCCAACTTTGTTCACTGCCTGGCACGTCCATAGGCAGCGACATTCCACCCCTAGCTTGCCAAGTGGAAATAGAGGTTGCTTGGGTCAGAAAACGAAAGTGGGGGGTCCTACAGCTAAGCTGGTGATGGGACAGAAACAACCTTCCTTTCTTTAAAACAAGCAGCAGCAGACGTATTTCTCTCTGGCCTTTGGGTGTTTCGATGCCCAGGGGTCAGTGTAACTAGAACTGCCCCTCAACCTGCCCTTTTGCCTGCACAGAACCACGCTATTTGGTATTTTTCCATCTACTTGGTCCCCATGCATTTTGGTTGTGATGGTGCCCCAAAATTCCTTGCTTTCCCCTCGTTAGAAATGTGTTCACCTAAAGCAGCCTCCCTGGTTTTCCAGAGTGGTATTGGCATGCAGCAGCTGAGGGCAGAACTACCCCCAAACCTGGCTGTGTTCCCAGGGACGTGGGGCAGGGACGGCTGCCCGGCCACCCAGGTTCACCCACAGACCCTTGTGCACAGGCACGGGGCTTCCAGCTCTCGTATTGGGTTGATTCCATTCCAAGGACGGGATCTTGTCTTCACTCGTGCACCAGCGGCTGGGGCCCGCGGGTGCCCTGTCTGCCTTACTGTAAGCTGACGGGCATCTGGGGCAGACATTTGCATGTCAGTTTCCCTTGCAGGTTAGGGACATTAAAAGAAGCACATTCTCATAAAGGACAAATACTGCTTTCCTGAAAGGATGGGGACACACACAGACCACCATTCCCACCTGCACAGCCAGCCCTGTGTCACCTTGCGGCCACCTGATGGAATTCCGGCGGGAACCCCTGCACAGAGGCCCCTGAGCGCCAGCCGAGCCGGCAGAGTGTGTTACAGTGATCTCACCACACAGACGTGCGCGGGACGTGTCTTTGCCTCTAATCGCTTTTGGCATCCCATGTGAAGGGATGGAAACAGAAGGATTTACAGTGTATTAAACCATTTCTCCGACAATCACATCTTTGAGTCATAAGCCTATGCTAGGCTCTGCACTCCCACAGAAGTCAGTTCCATCAAATTAGAGAGTCAGGACACATTTGCCATTTGACCCCAAAGGAGCAGAGCCCATGTTGCCATAAATGCAGAAAGGCTCAAATAATTACAAAGTTACCTTGAACGCCAGCATTTTCTGTTTCAGAAATTGATTTACTCTGGTTTTTCCCAGCCTGAAGAGCCTGACACACACGTGTTCATGTGAACATGTAAAAGCCGTTTTGAGTGAGGCTCCCTGAGTGGGAAGACAGCCAGGATCGTTCAGGGAGTTAACTCAGGTGGTGGCACTTGTGAGATGTGCACGTGGAAGGGGGTCTCCAGATGGACCACCTTTCTGCCCTTCTGTGGTCGGCTCTGGGGGGTCACTCAGGGGTTGAAGGGCTGGATGCAAAGGGAAGCTGCTTCACGGTTCCATTCGAGGCACAGCCATTGGAATGCAACTCAGAGCTGAGCACAGGCTTGGCCAATGGCGTCCATCCCCCAGGACACTCCAGCCCTCCTGGGGCCATCATGACCGTAGCTGGTGCCACCCGGGGCACGAGCAGCACCTGAATGTGCGGGCCTCACAGGAGCAACTCGCCTTCGCATTAGGGTGGCTGAGCCTTCTCCAGGCTTCTGTTTGTCTGAAGCAATGATCCCACGGTCAGCAGCTCTCCGGGGCCCTGATGCAGCCTGACTGGAGCCCAGGGTCCCCAGTCCATGTGGGTGGCTCGTGCTGTGCTATGAGGCCACTGCCAGGCTGGGAACTGGCCACAAGTCCAAGACACAAACAGGGCCTGAGACCCTCCCCAGTGGCCACTGGCATCTGCCAGGATGCATTTTGCTGCCATCCTCTCTCCCAGCCTGGCCAGCTCTGGGCACCCAGAGCACTCAGCAGCCCCTACTTTTTGACCACAGGGGGAAATGAAGTCAGAAAATCCCTGGGACAGCTGTCTCTAGGTCTCAGGCCCGGGGCTGGGCCTTCTTTTATGACCCCAGAGAACACAGGGGCAGCACGAGCCCAGGGGGTTCCACCAGGGATCTGAGGCAAGCAGAGGCCCGGCTGGTTGTCCTGGTGTAGGCAAGAGCCAGGTCCCCTTGGTCATGATCCCCTCCAGGTCCTGGAGGCTTCTGTGTGGGTCAGGGGGACGCTGTCCACTGAACGCAGACTGGTAGGAGACCAACTCAGGGCTCAGGAGCAGACACACCCACACGGAAGCAGCTGGAGTTCCGCCCGTCTGTGTCGATGGCAACCAGACTGTGATGGGCAAAACGGTCTGAACAAGCCTCTCTGGGTCTTATGGTCCTGCATCCTCCGAGCACGTTAGAGGACCAGCCCCACTGCCAGCCAGTTCCTGCCCAGCTCTCAGCTGGCCGAGCCCTCTGTGAGGGTGGCACCTTCATTTCAACCCGCGGGCAAGTAGTTGTTTACTTTGTATTCAGGAATCTAGGTTTCCAAAATAAATTAGAGCCTTTTACCTACTGGCAGGACGTGAGGTAAGCGCTCTTCACCCACCTCGAATCTGTCCCCTGGGCCGAGGGGTCAACAGGGACGTTCAGAAAGAGTAGACCCGCCAGAGCTTTCCGTCAGCTTCCCCCACCAAGCGACTTTGGGGCACCAGACGGGATGAAAAGCCGTGCCCCAAAGTCCAAGGGCTGTGCCTGGGGAACAGACCCTCCGCCACCGCCCCCAGCACACTCCTGGCTGCCCCCGGCTGTTCGTCCGTCTGTCTGTCTCCCTCGCTCTCCCATGGCATCTGCAGCTCTCCCGTCCTTCCGGGTGGCCCTGCTCCCCTGATTCTCGCACTAGCTCCTTAAACTCTTCCACATGTATTTTGGGGTCTCTGTGCTGGTTGCATCTGCTCCAGGAAGGCCTGGCTGGTTTGGAAAGGGGAGATGAGTCCGGAGAGCAGCTGACCCACCACCTTCTGCCCACCTGCAGCAGGGTGGACATCGGGAAGACTAGGCCGGGGCGCATGTGTGTGTCCTGCTGCGCGGCTTTATTCCGTGGGTCCCTGGATCCTTGGCCAGTTGGACACCACCAGAAGCTCCCCTGACGGCCCTTTCCTCCCCACCCCCACCTCACTCTAGGACGTATTTGAAACCCCTTCCGTTTCTGACCCCAGTCTGCCCTGTGTGTTTTACTGGGCCTTGCAGGGTGACCACTGTGCCTCATTGCTGAGACTGGGAGGTTTCCTGGGACACAGACTTCCACTAAACCCTGGAAAGTCCTGGGCAAATGGCTGGGTCAGCCACCCAGGGTCACCTTGAACCCTCTCTGCGAACAACAGAGGGCAACAGTAAAAACAGAAACACCAGCGGAGCCTCCTCTCTGCTCCCAACCCTCCTGCAGGGGTCCTCGGCCTCTCCGGGAGCTCCCCCCACTGCGTTTCGAGGCCAGACGGTGCCCGGAGGACCGAGAGTCAGCATAGGGTGGGGGGCGCACTGCTGCCTGCCTGGCTACTCCAGAAGGTGGGCACTT